TGAAAATATCTTGCAAAATGCAGCAGAGTTGCACATGAGAGTGCAATAGTCTCACCGATCCCAGCGCATTAAACGCACAAGCGGAAGTATTTAATCAAACCTGTAAAATGATTGGCGTTTTCATAGACTAAGGACCAACGGTACACTGAAATAGATTGTGATTGGATAAATTGTAAAAACGTTGAATAGAATAATGTTAAAAGCATGCTTTTATCCCAAGAAAAGCAAATGCATGTGCATTCATTTTTTTTTCTTTTTTCAAAAATTTCGATTAAATTTTTCGAAAATATTGTACAGTTAAATCAGATTATTAAAACCAGGATTATGATTTGGAAAAAGTATACTTTTCCAAAAAGCTGAAAAGAACAGGAAGTAACTAAAATCTAAAAATGACCAGTACAATTGTTTAAAAATAAGTATTCACTTAAATTTAGACACATATAATTTAATGTTGCACAAAAGAAGTCGAAAGTTTCCCTTCATATTTACTCGTTCAAAAAAAAAAAAAAAAAAAACCTTGTCATATTTTATTTTTATATTATTTCTTGTCATATAAAATTTAAAATTCTATTTAACCTATTATATTTTACTTTTAAATGGATTATGTTCTATTTTTTACCAAACTAAATATGTGCTCTTACATCTAGATAAATTTTGTGTATTTATTATTTTTAGTTTATATATTCCATTTTTAAAAAAATAACTCACTGTTTAGATAATTAAACACTAGTAAAATCTTTATTTATAGGTTTAATTCTAATTACTGTAACAAATATTTACTTTGCTAGGATTATTTTCAATTAGTTAAATTTTTATTAGTTTCTAGTAGTTTAAATTTTTATTAGTAGGGGGCACATTAATGAATTTTTCAGGAAATACTTTTTTTTTTTTAAATCAATAACTTTCATTTAAAAATGCACCTTTATATGTTCATTTTCTCATAATTTTCTGTTTAAAATATAAAATAAGTTTTCAAGTTGTTTAGAAAATAATCGTTTGTTTTAGTTTGTATTTTTGAAGAAAATTTATCCACAGAGAATATCTTTTAGCTTAACTTTAATTATTCCTCAAAAATTGCAAATTTTTCTGTTTTGATAATGAGTGAGAATTAACTTTTTAAAATGTGTACATAAAATAGTTTAAGAGGGTTATTTAAAAATTATTGAGTAATCAAATTCAGATATCGCAGAAGATTACACATTTTTATTACTTTTAATGGTGGTGAGTGCCCTTTCAAAACTCAAGTCCCCTTTTCTGTGAGGATATATATACATAAATCCTCATGTTTCGCACACTAAAAAAATTAGTGCCGATTCTCAAGGCTTGTCAGATATGAATGAAACAAACAAAAGTGATTACAAACCGAAAACCTTAGGTTGCTTATGAAGAAAGGGAACATAGAGGTGAAAAACAAATTTTTTTGGTTATAAAAATTAATAAGTGCTCATTCAGGTTATAAAAACATAACACTCATTCAAAGTAAAATCGACCAAAATCTCGTTGTCGGCAGATCATCAGGAAAATATTTTGTAGAAAAGTTTTTGATGAAAATAAAAAAAAAATTTCTCAATTTTTGGAGCAAAACTATTGATTAGGGAGCTATTTTGAAATTTGACTCGATTTAAAAGACTACAGATGGTGGCACATTATGCTAAAAATATCAACATTGTTTTTTTATTTATCAATGAGTCAATTTTCGTAATTATGTTGTCATTGCAAGAAAAACCAACATTATGTAATTAATCTAAGAAATTTCTGGAAATATTTATATAATTATTTTAAAAGAAATTAAACAATGTTTGCAATATACACTGGTTATCATAAATTAAGGAAAATTCACAAAAATCGCGATAACTCAAGAAATTACACATGGAATTTTATGAAACTTACCCACAATATACAACATATAGTAAGGTATTAAACAACATAAAAAGAAATTATCAGACATTAATAGTAGTATAGAAATTAGCACATGTATAAAATAAACAAATTGGAAGTATCGGTTTGCAATAGAAAAAGTACCTTTAATATGGAATATGATTGCCTCTAGAAGCAATACAGCACAAACAGCGATGTGTGATGCTTTCAATTATGCGGTCTATCAGTTCAATAGGAAGTGAGAGCCATTGCTCTTGTAAAGCAGTTGCAAGCGTGGCAAGGGTCTGAGGGGGCGGATTGATGGCAGATACACGCCTCCCTAGAGCATCCCAAACGTGCTCGATAGGATTCAAGTCCGGGGATCGAGCTGGCCACTCCATGCGAGTAATTGTTTCCTGTTGAAGATAATCATCAACAATGCGAGCTCTGTGTGGTCTTGCATTATCGTCCTGTAACAGGAAGCAATCACCAATTGCCCCGGCATATGGGCGCACATAAGCATCAAGGATGTTGTCTCGATAAACCTGAGCATTCACGGTTCCCCTTGGAAAGACATGGAGGTATGTGCGCCCTCCTAAGGATATGCCTCCCCAAACACAGACACTGCCTCTTCCGTATGCATCTCTTTCACGGATGTTTGATGGATGATAACGGGTCCCAGGTTCTCTCCATATCAAATAACGTCTACTGTCACTTTCTAGACTAAACCTGGACTCATCCGTAAAGAGAACAGGCCTCCATTGATCTGACGTCCAGTGGACATGTTGTCGGGCCCACTGCAAACGGTCTCTCCTATGGCGTGATGTGAGCGGCACGCAAATGGCTGGTCGTCTCGCATACAGACCACCTTCGTGGAGCCTTCTGCGCACAGTTGACGTTGACACCAACCTTCCGGTGGCTGCAGCAAGAGAGGATCTAAGATGTGTCGGAGTAGCGGTTCTATTCCTGCGTGCACTTAATGTCAAATATCGGTCATCGGCACTGGTCGTAACAGTTGGCCGTCCTTGACTGAACCTCCTAGATGCCGAATCTGTGGTTTGAAATTGCCTCCAAAGTCTATGAACCACAGATGGACTCACATTTAGCCATCTGGCCACTTCTGATTGACTCTGCCCTGCCTCTAGTCTCCCGATGGCTCTCCATCGTAGTTCTTCAGGCAAATGATGCCTAGAGGTCATTATTACGAATTGGCTATCTCAGATTTTCAATGTCGCAATCACAGTAAAATTTGTGTGCTTTCTCTCAAACTTGGACTTTTATGCTCCAGGCAGATGACGTAAGCCGAGTGCAGCGCCACTAATTTGCATATTGCAATTTTACTCAGCTACTCTTAGTGGACAACATATGCAAATTTTGCACGGTTTGGCTTACTTTTGAAAGAGTTATCGCTATTTTTGTGATTTTTCCTTAATTTATGATAACCAGTGTATATATATTTGCACATATATACATATATTTGCACATATTATACATATATACATATTTTTTAATTACAAATTTCCCCAACTTAATATTCTCTCATAGTTTAAAATATAATTTTAAGCATAAGAAAATCAAGAGGAAGTTTTTTCTCATTAAAAAAATAATAAAAAGTTCTTTTTAGCTAAAACACGACAACAAAGTTTCCTAAACCTCAATTTTTCTCGTAATCTTCAATGTCATAATTTTTATTATAAAAAAACAATCAAGAGGGTGTTTCTGTTTTTTGATCAGTAAAAAAATAAAAAGTGGTTTTTAAAACAAGTTTTTTTTACTTTAAGTGAACAAATTGTAACAGATCAACTATTGCATGGATTTAAAAAAATTATAAACTGTTCTTGAAAAAAAGAAAAATTAATTTCACGAATACAGAATGAGTGACACAATACGAAAAAATAAATAAGATGAAACTTTACTTTGTTAACAGTACATATCAATAACTTTATGTTATATAACAGATCAAATTGGAAATCCCTTTTGTCTATTATAGATTTATTACAAATTTTAACATTGATATCTGGCATTTTTATTTTATGTATGTATTTATTTATATATATTTTGCTGCTTATTACATTAGATCAAGCACAAGCTTATAAAATTTTGATCCTGAGTAGGAGTTAAATTTTTCCCAACAATAATAAATAATCAAGACTTAAAGAAAAAAAAAGAGAAACAGTTCATCATTGAAATTTCTTTAATTTTCAAAACAAAGTTTTAAAAAGTATTTAAAGTGTAAAGTTATTCACAGGTTACCCATTGTTAAAATGGTTATTGTCTAATTTTTCTACTCTCTTTATTTGTGATATTCACCTGAATTATTATTTAAAACGATCCAGTTTGAAATGTAGGTTAGAATTTCTGATTCTTAATTAAAACAATAAAAACAATAATAAGCTTTCAAATGATCAAATTCTCTTTTATTCACAACTCAAGAAGTATTTATGAAATCTCTCTGGACCCATATCTCAAAAATAAACTCACCCACTTAATGCATAACAAAATTAAAAGTGAAAAAAAGATTTCTAAATTTTTTTTCTTCAAAAAGCAGCTGTAGACGTAGCAATGCCTGCAATGATGACGCTTTGGACTGCTTACTATTACTCTTGAACACAGTTGAAAAGTGTAATGACGTCCAAATAAGGTGTGCACGCCATCAAACCCAAAATAACACCCATTTTGCCAATGGGTAAAAAAAAAATCTTGTGGTTTTCAAAGTAAAATACTTCAAAACGAGTTGCAACGATATTTTTAGCATCAAAGACGGTGACTTTTTGCGGTGAAAATCTTGGTATCTTTTTAGACAGATATTTTTTTTCCTTTCATATAATTTATTATAAATAAAACTACTATTAAATAAGATTTATCAAAAAATGATTCGATCTAAACATTCAAAAAACGTTTTAAATTCCACTGTATGTAGGCACACCAAACAAAAGCATCGGTTTGTTAAACTATAAAAATGGTTTGAATTTTCTGCATTCCTAATAAAAAGTTACATTAAACCATGTTTTCACTTAAGTTGAGCCTCGTTATTCCATAATCAAATTTAATACAACATATGAAATATGAGAATTATTACATATTTTCCATAAGTATTGTAAAAAAAGACAAATACTCATTAGAGGAAGAATGAAATATGAGAATATTATTATATATATACTTTATTTAAACATTGGATAAATGACATATACTCAATTATCATCTAAGTATGAAATATGAAAATTATTATATACATTACCTACGCATTGTATACAATGACAAATGATCTTTAGACAAAGTATGAAATGCTAGAATTAGAGAGAATAAAAGAAGCACATTTATTTTTCTTTACTTTAAAGAAAATTATTAATGATTTTTTAAACCAAAGAAAAATATTTCTTTTATTCAATAAATTAAATGTTTTTAAGAATAACAAATTTCACTTTTCGGTTATTATTAACAATTTACCAATTAAGAAAAGCATCAGTGTAGTGTGGAAGATAACAGTCTTCAATCTTGATAAAGAAAACTATCAGTGTTATCAGTGAAAACCATCAGCATAAAAAATGCTGGGCCCTTACCTAATGACCCTTTACCTTAAAATAACATTAGTGTATAAAATAATATTATATTATTAATAATACAACATTTATATCTTTCTCATCAAATAAAATATGAACTTATTTATTAAACAAACAAATTACTTTCTAATACCAATAAATCATAGTCACACTAATTAAAATTGTGAAATAATCATATTTCCTACTTAGTCAATTTTTTGCATTGCATAAAACATGCATATAGCGTTTTAAACAAAATCATGAATCGTGAACTATGAAATACATTAATTAGACGCTCATTTTTTGAATCCTAAATACAATCTTAAGTTGACTAGAACACAGTAAGATTCAATATAACATACTAATATTTAGAGTCACTTATTGTTAAACTTTATTAAATCAGTTTGCATAAGATGAAATTAGTTGAAGAGTATGTACAATTAAAAAAATACGAGTCTAGTACAGAGATGGCGAACCTACGGCACATGTGCCACATCCCTGTGTCAAATGAAAAATGTGGCCAGGATAGGCAGGTTGGCGGGGCACTACACTCTCGTTCATGAGAACGGAAGTTTGAATCCAGCCGGCTGAAGAAAGCCCGAGTAGAAAATGGTGACTGGTGCACATTAAATTTGCCGGGTCACAAAGTCCTCAGTGTCCCCATAAGAAATACCTATGGGGTACTAAATTGGAGATTGATCATTCTCTGGTTCAGGTCAAAATTACGATCTGTGAAAGAATGAATGGATGTATGAATGGGTCCCCCTCATAAACGGTTGTGATGTGTGGCAGAAGTCTAATTCTTGGCCACAGATGACGCCACTGGAAAACGACAACCGCACCCTTTGCCTTAATGGTCTATGACATCATCAACAACATATGAGAAATGCATATTTAATTAAATTTATTCATAAACATTAAATGAAAAACATTAAAGAAAAAAACAGGAGCAACAATATTAGCAATCATTATAGGCAAATTCGGAATGATTTTGGAAGTTATTTTGTTTAACTGCAGTACCCCTCCACTAGAATTCAAAAACTTATCCCAATTTTCTTAGAAGTGCAATGAGATGTTAAAAGATAACCCAAACTAAATTGCAAATTATGAAAAAAATGTGTCAGCAGTTGTTTTAACAATGAACTCAGCCTAATTGTCTGTAAAAAAGCAGCATTGTTTCAGATTTAATTAAATATTCCATAAATACAGTAATTCTATAGTTTGAAATCAAGATACAATGGTTAAAAGATTATTTTTTAAATAGGAAAATAATAAGGGGCACACTAGACACCCTAAAATAGCAAGCAGTAATTTTAGAAAAAGGTTTGCCATCTCTGGTCTAGTATACGGAAACCATAAAGTGCAACTTTTTCGGCAATAGAAATTGGAAAATTCCTTATTGATTTTGAATTAAAATGAGCCATTTTGTTGATCAAATTTCATGATTTATTACTTGAATGGCTATTATATATTTGTATAGTAATTTTAGCAATATTACCCAAGTCAAAATTCTTGATGGTTCCATCAAACAATTTTGATGGTTCATGTTGGTTTCAGTTCGGATCATGATGGTCCAACATCATTTGATGGTCACCATCATCCAACATTTTCCATTATGTGCTCATGGTTTTTGATCTGCCAACAAACTTCCATCATTCCATGATTGAAGATGCTACTTTAAAACTGCAATGGTTAACCATCAAGGGAAGTTTGACTTTCATAGACCAACAATCTCTGATGGTTCAAACTATACATTGATGGTTTAATGGGAATTCTTGTTGGTTGTCGGGAATATACCATCAAAATAATTTGGGATTTTAATGCATGACCATCAAAAATCAATCCGAATTCCTACATTCTGTGGTGGCTCATGATCGTTACAACACTTGATTTCCAAGAAACTATGTAGGTAATTTCTGATGGTTCACCATGAACAAACCATCAAAACAAGTTGCTATTCTTATGTTGAACCATCATAAATCAGTCAGAATTCCTGCATTGAGGTGATGGCTACTTATGTTGGTTACTATCAAAAAATATTATGGTTCATGATGGAATTATTGATGGTTACCATCAAGATTATGTTGGCCCATCAATGGAAAATCATCTAAAATTTTGACTCGGGTATTTAAGGAAGACATCATCAGTAAACATCACATATTGAATTAGCGTACAACATAACCAGAATTCTTAAGGAATCTTACAAAATTTAAGGCTATGTTTGGATCTCTATAAGCTAGAATACCATCAAGATTTTGAAAGGCTTCAGTTCCTGTCTTGGAAGACACAGGTTTGTATTTCACTTGTCGTCTCTTTAAGAATTCCATGTTTACTTCATCACAATCATTAATGGCTTCTTTTAGTCTTAGCATTCCACCACCAGCAGCCATTAGGATGGCGTGTGGCCCACATGTGTCCCAAAAATAGGTGGAACTTTTTGAAAGAATATACAAGTCAGACTTTTTAATGGCAACAAGAAGGGCTTTGTGTCCAGCACCAGCAGAGTGCACCACTTTGTATTGTCTTTTAATGATTTCTAGTAATTCGATACTTTCACTAGAACTCGTCAAAACTGTTTTGTCCTTATCTGGATGAAGGTCAGAATCTTCCTTAACGGATGCATTATGGTCGTTGGGCGTCGACTGGACACTTGAAGACACAATAGATGAATTTTTATAATGAATGCCCCAGAAAAACTTACTTTTCCATCTGAAACAAATTAGATTAAAACTACAATCATAGGTATAATGAAACATCATAATTCATTAACATTTTAAGCAGATACCACAGAGAAAAATAATTCTTTTTTTAGAAGAAAAAAAATTTCCATTTTGAGAATCCTGATCACAAGAGTTTTTAGGCAGTTATTTTTTTACAAGCAAATTTATTGATATTAAAACTCCAAATTGCAAAAATCTAACTTCCTAACAGCAATACTTTAAAAAAGACAAAAAGATCTCTTTTGCACTTCAATTATAATCTTTGAAATTTCTAAAAAATAATACTCATATGCTTATCTTTTTAACTATGCGTTACATGAGGATAGTCTATTTTTAAAATTATAATATGTTTCTTCTTAAAATAATGCTAAGAATGAATACATTTGATTATAAAATAAAAATTGAATTTGTACAAAAACACCTAAAATAAGTTAAATATTCTTCTTCCATTTTAAACTTTCTTTTTTTTTTGAATTTGATATTCTGCCTTAACCATACTAAAAAACTGTAATGGAGATAATATCATCCTTGATTAGAAAAATTCTGCTGAATATTACATTGTATTGATAAGCCGGTGAATATAGGGACTTTCCTATGGTATTCACTACAGCAATATTGAAATAAAATAATGTATTTGTATGGTGCTTGACTTTTAATGGCAAGCTGCATACAGTTTTTGCCAAGGATCAAGGTTAATATAGCTTACTGACGCTCTGCAGATTAAACATTATCTATAGAGTACTCGATAGACAATTTTTATAGTGTGGTCAGATTCGGTAATTATTTAAATCTGCAATTGTCAAGAATGATTTATCAAACTATGCATTTCTTTCACTTCAGTAAGCTAAATTTAGTTTATTACGCTTTGAATAACAAGCATTTATATATACAGTATACTCTCGAAGTTGAAGGGATGCTAAAAAAATTTCGAGACAGTGTGTTTTTGAGATTACAAGCTCAGAACTAAATATGCTCTAAAAAGTAGAAAAATATATTCTAAAATATAAGTCTAAAGCAGAGTCATGAAACATTAGAATAGCTTATAATAAATATATATGTAATTNTATATACAGTATACTCTCGAAGTTGAAGGGATGCTAAAAAAATTTCGAGACAGTGTGTTTTTGAGATTACAAGCTCAGAACTAAATATGCTCTAAAAAGTAGAAAAATATATTCTAAAATATAAGTCTAAAGTAGAGTCATGAAACATGAGAATAGCTTATAATAAATATAAATGTAATTATAGTTCAATATAAGTCTAAATACAACAATGATAATCTTATTTTTAAAAGTAAGACAAAAATTATTGTGCATTAAATAGAAGAGAATTGGTTTACAATAGTGACTTCAGAGTGTCACTACAATAGAGACAGTGTGCTTTTGAGATTACAAGCTCAGAACCAAATATGCTCTAAAAAGTAGAAAAATATATTCTAAAATATAAGTCTAAAGCAGAGTCATGAAACATGAGAATAGCTTATAATAAATATATATGTAATTATAGCTTAATATAAGGCTAAATACAACAATGATAATCTTATTTTTAAAAGTAAGACAAAAATTATTGTGCATAAAATAGAAGAGATTTGGTTTACAATAGTTTTACATTTTAATTTTCCGAAAAAATTCATTTCCTACTTCAAAAAAAAATTTGACATAACAAGGTTTTGAGAAGAAACTTTTTGATATAGGAATTCAAATAAACATTAGGTAGATATGTAATGTCAAGGAGAAAAATCATTTTTTGACACAACTAGGTTAATGAGATATCGAAGTTCGGGATACCTAGAGTATACTATATCTAATTATTAAAAGAATTTATGTAGCAGATAAAAATCAATAAAAACATGAATTTATTATGGTGATAATATTCAATAAGTTTCAAGTAAACCTCAATTTTAATTACTTCACTATAATTAAAGATACTTTACCCATTTATTACCAGTCATAAAAATGGTCTAAATATAAAAAATACATCTACGAGAAAAAGTGGTAGCACATATTTATTTATACCAATGAACCAAATGTATATTTCTTTCAGTAATCTGCCACTTTAACTTTAAAAAAAGCTTTGACTTCAAATCTTAACATAAATATTTGTATTGTCAATATATGACAGCTGGCAAAACTATCTCACTTTTACAAAATCAATGCAATAATGCAAAGTTTGCCCTACCATTTATTTTATTTTTTGAAATAAGAAACCATCCTTTTAAAATAATACCTATTACTGTTTTCTTGCTTGATTCTTGTACTTTATTCGAATATAAAAAATAACACTAAAATCGGGAACCATATGGGAGAAATCCAAGGCAAATTATTGTCACATTAATGCAAACTGAGGTTGTTAAACTCACTGCTTTCCCCTCATATAAAAAGTTTCACTTAAAACATACAAGATGTTAAATAATAACCAACCCTAATTTATATTATTAGAGTCCTTGTCAAATAAATAAATAAACGTGATAGCAGACTTTTGAAAAGGATGTACACTAACACACAAAGCGCATAAAGTCCAAATATTTTGCAGGAAATTTAAAAATTATTAAAAAATCCCAAGAAAATTTTATTGCAAATTTAAAGAAACTGATTTATTTCATTTTCAATTATTTTTAAAAAAAACCTTTACCGATTTTTGACATAGTGCTGTGGCCTGAATATAAAAAATGGTGTTTTTTGAGCAATATAAATATAATTTTCTTCTGAAATTTCTGTTAATCAACGAAAATTTCAAAAAATCACACTGTGATGCCATGTTGCAAAAATTTTTGAACCAGTATGTGTGTAAGCAAAAGCTTTTGTTTTACGACATCTCTGCACATTATGGGGTTGCCAATATATAAAATATTTATAATGTTATTAAAATCTGTAAAATCACTCAAGGAAGACTTTTTAGAAAGCATCAACTCCAAATTTATTTTCTGGTGAAACTCTTGTTTCCAATAAAAATTATTCAAATTCCTTCTGTTGGATCTGGCAAGCAAACAGGTCTCGATTTTTTTCAGACATGCCATCCTTAGAAATGATTCATTATTATATTATTGTATAAATTTCTTTGTTTATTGCACAAAAAAGGTATAGATTCGTCAATAGCCTTTCTTTGTCAGTTGTAATTGAGAGAAAAACACATTCAAAACTCTGAGGATTAAAATGCATAAATTAGGTGAAATTCAAAACGTTTGAGGATGCAAACGTAAAGATGGCCATGATTCAGACTTGAAAAACTGGGTTTGCAAAAAAGTTTTCTCCCTCAAAATACTATTTAAGGTTTCACAAAAATGGCTTCAAAAGTTTAATAAAAAATGTGGAATTGTTTGTAGGAAAATTAACAGTCTCTTAAAAACACATTCTCAAAAAGGAAAATACTGCTTATCTTTCAAAAGCATTTGTTGATGATTTACAAACTTTTTTTAAAGATTCGAAATTCAATGATAATCAAATGTTTAATACTGATCACATAATTGAAAAAGGAAATTTGTTCAGGAAGAAAACTCGATTTGTTGGGCTCCAAACAGTTTTTAAAGTGCTACACTGTCTATCCACGCAATGACACATTCATACACTGTAATGCCAACAATCAGCACAATTGGCAAGCTACTGAGGCCTTTATTCATAACTCCAGAACTTAAAGAAAAATTTGGAACCAGAGTTAAAGAAAATATCTTTCAAACTTATATTGATGCCAATGCTTCAAAATGGATCAAAAGCGCTGAGGAAATATTTATCACAGATGTATTTTAAAAAAGTACCAGATGAAACTATATTTTTATTTGGATTCTGGGAGACCCTTTAAAAACAAAGATTCGGTTGACAGTGTTACACCCACAGTTAAAAATAATCCTGTATTTATCATGCTTTCTAAAACCATTTATCTAGTTCAGCTACATAATAGGTACAGTTTCAAATTTAGTTATGACTGAACAATAGCAAATTGATTTGTTCCATAGAGATGATATTAAAAAAAATATATGATTCTTTGCTCACAATCAAACATGTGAAACTCCATATAAACATGTGAAATTACAAATGACACGCTAGTTCTAGTATGCACAGACTTTTCGGTTCCATTTCAGAGGAGGAAAATTAAGCCTGAAATTGAGAATATCTTGCAAAATGCATCAGAGTTGCATATGAGAGTGCAAGAATCTCACCAAATGCAGCTCAGTAGACGCACATGCGGACTCGCAAGTATTTCATCAAACATGTGACATAATTGGTGCTATCATACGCTGCGGACGGATGGTATGCCAAAATGGATTGCTGTTGAATGAATTGAGAAAACATTGAATAGAACAATGTGAAAACCACGCTTTTGCATAATATGCAGCGAAAAAACTGCAAGGTAAAGAAAAAAAATCTCGTTTTCGAAAAGGGAAAATAAAGCACTTTTTTAAAAACATTCCATGAAAAAAGGACTTTTAAGGGCTTTTAAAAAACGAAAATCTAAAATAAGCACTTTTAAAAAACGCTACACACCATGGTCTCAAATGCAAGTAAGCTTTAACATTTCCCTAATGAAAATTGCGACCAAATAATCAATTACTTTCCTCCCGTAAAGGAAATATACGTCCCTATTGCTGCCCGATGGAAAAAATCTTGGTTTCATAGTCACAGCAAACAGAATAAAAATAATTTTTTAAAAAAAATAACAGTGAAACAGTAAATCATAAGCATACAAATAAGCTCTAAATGATAAGCAAGTGTTTACAGATCAAGAGAGTAAAACATACTTAGCGTTTTCAGACGACCTAGAATGGAATGGCTGGTTTACAACACCTATGACTGGTACATAAGTCTCTAAATCATAAGCACCAATCAAAACACACACACATTTTAGTCCATTATTTTGCTCAGTTCCTTCCGTTTCACTCTCCTCGCATTTTCCTTCTATGAATTCAGCAATGGAATCTGAAATAAAATACATACGCTTTGTACAACACTTTAACACTCACAACACTTAACAACTTTTTATATTAAATTCTAGATTTTAAAATTATGTAGTTAAGGTAAATTTAAAAAACGAAAAAACGCATTCTCAAAAACTAATTTTTGCAAAAAATTATTGGTTGGAGAATGAGTATTATAAATGTTTGAATAGGCATTAGCTCCAGAATACAATGAAAATTGAAGTATAAAGAAAGAAAAAATATCATTAAGCATTCGCCTTCCAATGAGGTGAACCAGTTTTGAGTCACAGCAATTGCAGTTTTATTTGAATTCCACACCCGACTCGTACCAGTCACAATGCTCATATAAAACATCCTCAGTAGTAGACGGATCATGGGTCAGAGTCCTGAACCGGGCAAACCGTGGGAGGTTTTCCTCTGTATGAATTGCAAATGCAAGTTAGTTCCATCAAAAAGTCCTCCACGAGAAATATTTCTCCCAATACTCGATCCAGAAGTTCCCTTGTCTTCTGGCTTGGGTTCAAAATTACAAGGCTATGGAGGTGAACATTAGCAGTCGCAAACCCAAAAATTAGGTGGGCTGTTCAATGACAGTTATATAAAAAAAAATGTAATAGCCTGAGCTGTGTGGTCACAATCTATTGAGTATTTCGATCTGAAAGTGGAGACCTATGTTTGATTTCAAGTGATGGTTAATCAATAAGAATTCTGTTTGCAGATCAAATAAAGACAGTGCTCTCGTAAAATATCCTCAGTAGTTGACAGATCATGGATTAGAATTCCCTTGTCATCAGCCTGACTAAAGTTTTTCTCTTTATATAAAACAAATGGGGGTTAATTGAACAAAAAATGCTATTCATGAAGGCTAGATTGCCTCAGTGCTTGATCTAGGAGTTCTTTCGTCTTCGAGATTGGATATAAAATTAAGAGACTACTGGGTCGAACATAGTAGTAAACCCAACAAAGAGTTGACTTTTCAGTACCAGTTATTTATAAAATATATAGCAAAATGAAATAGCAAATGAAAATTCTAACCTAAGCTAACTAGAAAATTCTAAACTAAGCCAAAACACTAACTCAATATTTCAGGGCCTGTGCTAAGCATTCGCCACCTCACCAAATGAGAAAAAAATTTTAATTTGGCAAATAAAATGGTGTAAGTATTGGCGATTGATTTTCTCCACTGGAAAGAAAAATATATATTTAACTCAATCCTCTAAATTACGTTAGAATGAATTTTTCAGTATTTTTTATTCAACTAAAGTAATTTTCAGTAGATGAGCCACATAACCCATTAGAATTGGGTCCAAAAAATATAAACCCGAAACCAACTACCGTAAAACAGTTTTCTATGGGGAAAAAATTTCTCACATAAAATTTTTAAGATTTGCAATTGGCAAAGACTTTTGAAAATTGACGAATACTTTTGATATTTGGCTATTTTACAAGCTAATCATTTAAAATCCTTAGAGTGGCCCTTGTATCGGTCAATAAAATGTTAATACTGGGAGTCAAAGGTCTTAACATACATATATTAAGTATCTTTATAGAAAATGAAATTTTTTAAAAAAATACACTTTTAAAGTTTTAATCTATTATTTAAGTGAGAATTTTTTTTTTAACTTTAGCCATTCTTTATGAAAATCTTGAAGAGCATAAAAGTTATTAAAATTGTCAAAAACCAGTTCATTTGTGTAGTAGAATTGGAAGTGCTTTCATTAGAAATCTCTTTTAAGCTTAAAAAATATTTGTTTTAGTTGATTTTAATCTCTCTGTTTATCATTTTTACTTCAATTCTGTTTATCAATTGGTCATAGTTTGAAAGCATGTTTGTTACCACTCACTTAAACATTAATTCGTGATCTCCTAGTATATTTCTTAATTAAATTAATTTATTAATATTTAATTAATTTCATCATTCAATTAGTTTAATTTTTTAATTTTAGAATTACCATACAAAAAGAATGATCATTATGATACACCTTTTACATCTATTTTATTTGAGCTATAAAAATCACACTTTAGTTAGAAACTCGTATCAGACCAACTTTAGAAAATAAAAAAGCAGGAGACTCTGTATCACGACATAGCACAATATTGAAAATTAAACCTGATTCACATTTCCTACAAGAAGTTTACTTCAAAATATATTATTTACATTACATAAAATAGACCACAATAAGATTCTGACACGGACTAATAAATATATGTGTTCTTACTATAAAATATAAGGTTCTATAGAATTATATTAAAACACATCTTCTGATTTTTTAAAATTTAGGAAGAGGTTCAAAATTAACAAAATATGTCAATAATGAATACAACTTTATAAATGTATGTCTTATTTTTTCTAAAAAAAAACTGCTACTGTTTTAAAACTGCAGATGTTGCTGATTCAGCATTATTTAAAAAAAAAAACTGCCATCTATAGAAAGTGAAAAAACATTTTGCCTAATGGTATCAAAGATATATTTCCTATCCGATTTTGCCATTTCATCGGTTATTGTTGTTGTCTTGGTTCGTGCACACTACCGTAATTTTTAGCGATGTTGCTATCGGGGATAATTTTTCTAAATAATTGCCCAGCATGATCTGAAGCACAAGTTGGGAAGGAAATTGCACAAATTGTTTTTCTTTTCCCCTCTATCGTGCACTAAATAGAAAGAAGCAGGAGAAAACACCCTGAAGGTCTGAGGGCGAAGATTTGAGGAAAAAGCAGGAGAGTTGGTAGGTCTGTCGTATGTTAGGAAAAATTTTATGACATTTCACTCTGTAGCAAATTTAATTATGAACTATACATTCCAATATCCAAAAGCCCAATTTATTCAATGAATATTCATCAGTGGATATTTATTTATCTATTGGATCAGTATCAGTTTATAATTATCTATTGAATACAGTCTACAAAATGTAGTACAAAACTTCTATACAAGGAAAAAATTAAAAAGACTAGACTAGCATAACATTCTTTGATAAATTTAGAAAAGAACTACATAACTATGAGATCTGTTTAAGTTTCTAATTTATCTTTTTCAAATGTATCAATGGATATTTATTTATCTACTGGATATGGCCTGTGGAAAGCACTAGCATGAAACTTATATATTACAAAAAACTTGAGTAGGCATATCATCTTTTAAAAATGAACGACATCCATATATGATCTATCTAAATTTCTAATTTATTTATTGTATATGGTGTGTGGAAGGCACTAGCAAGAAACATATAAAAAAAAATTGAGCAGGCATAGCATTCTTTAGTAACGAACTACACACACATATGAACTATCTAAGTTTCTAATTTATCTATTGGATATGGTCTGTGGAAGATACTAGCATGAAACATATATATTACGAAAAACTTTGGCAGGCATATCATCCTTTAGTAATAAACTACATACATATATGATATATCTAAGTTTCTATTTTATCTATAGGATATAGTCTGTAGAAGGCACCGAGCATGAAACATACAATATATTACAAAAAACTTGAGCAGGCATATCATCCTTTAGTAATAAACTACATACATATATGATCTATCTAAGTTTCTATTTTATCTACTGGATATGATCTAGTGAAATGTATATTGTGAAATGTATATTGTCTAGTGAAATGTATATTGTATATTCTATACTACAAAACACTTATGTGGGCTGAAAAGAATATCATCCTTTGATAAATTCAGAAATGAACTATATACCTATAGGGTCTATCCAAATTCCTAATTTATCTATTGGATATGTATCAGCAGCAAAGCATTGTTTCTTCTCACAAAGAATCTCCGTGGAATGTAGAACATTAGCTATTGCTCTAGCAAAGTTCTTCCTTCCATCCAAGACTTTGCTAAGCAAGGAAGTAGTTTCATCAGCTGAATCTGTCAGTATAACTTCGATCGATTCTCCTTGCGCATTCTTAAAAGAAATTTGCTCTTCTCCCTGAATTTTAGGCACAAGTCGTGGAAACTTTAAAAGAAAAAAAGAAGAACTAAATGATTTTTGGAAATACAATTAGAAATGGCAGAAAAAGAGAATCATTTACAAAAGCTTTTGAGTAATTTATTTAATTTTTTCCTCCAAGTAAAAAAATATCTTATTGCCTATTAACAATTCAAGGGGCATTTGCGAAATAGCGTTAAGTTTTTCAAACTGTACAAATCTCTTTCTCTTTTCTTTCCTTTCTAATGACAGACATTGAATTACTTATTCTTCACCTCCGAAGATACTAGAATTGTTGCTCTTTTAACAATAGCCAGTAGGAATCCATGAGTCCAAGTGGAGGCAAGAAACATTTCAACTGTAAATGACTCAATCTTAAAGATTCATTATGGTTTGAGAGCTGCATCCTAAATGAACTAATTAATTAAAAACCAAAATCAGACACAAGAGTAATTTATCCGAATAAATATATATTTTTTTCGGAAGTCAAATTTCTTATTTTTTAGAAATATGGAGGGGGTAGAAAAAAATTTAAAAATATGGTTCGAACAATTAATTGAATAATATGATCAGTTCCATTTTGAATTATAATGGCGAAATTTCAAGATGCTATCAATAACAATACAAGATTTTTTTTGATTAACAATAATAATTTTTTTTTTTTTTAATTTTTCTGAAATTTTAGAAAAAGAAGCTGCAAATACTTTTTCATTTGTGAAATGAAAGATTGAAAAACACGAAGTAAATAATAGTAAATTTAAAGTATCATTATTAAACAAAATAAAAGATAATTATAAAAAATTATTTTGTTAAATATATTTCAGATACATAATGAAATATGAAAAAAAAATGAAATTAAACAAGGCGAAACTTTTGAGAGCTCTCCTGACTAAAATATAAGGACCTTAGTTTTCAGATTGCGGCTACCGCTATATTTTGAAGGTCAGGAATCCAAATCTATCAGGAAAAGGTATGCTTACTTACAAAAAGTATATTTTAAATTCAAAAAAAATAAAAATATTCAAAGTGATTTTTTTTTTGTTCACTGTACACATAAATAGGAATAATATTTATTGTACTTTTTTGCTGACATCCAACTTGATGGTCTCTTGAACAAGAACATCTGCTAGAGTTTTGAAGTCTTGAACAAATCGTTTATTGCTCTCTGATTCACTTTTTTCTTGTATTAGAAGATTAAAGACATCATTCTCCTCGCGAAAGATTTGTGCTATCTTAGAAGACTTTTCAGAACATTCTACCAAGCACTGAAGAAGATCACTAAGTACAATTTCATCTAATGGACCGTCAGAGCTTGAAACAGTTTTGTTCATGATGGTTACTCAATTCGTTAGATAACTATAAGAAGAAGAAAAAACAAGACATAAAGACTGTGTGTTTTAATTACAATTTAATTTGTTTTTAAAAACTTTTTTATGAGAACACTATAGAGCTTTACCCTCTGCTCATTAACCTCGTTGATTGGTAAGCCATGTAGCAGAATTTTTTTGAGCTTTATCTGTGACTAAACTCTCTAGCACAAATTTCTTTCTGCAAGATACTTTTAATTATAACAAACATATATGTTACTAATTTAAATAATTAAAAAAAACTGTACAATTCTTTTTAATTGAACACATAATAATTTCTTATTTTAATATTTGAGATGATATTCTCGCATTTTGTTGAGGGACAAATTATTAAATTTTGTAAATAATCATCACAATAAAAAACGTAATTAAAAATCATGAGACCCGTAGTAGTAATAGCTGAAAAAAAGATTGACGATGAAATCATGCGAATCGGACTCCTCAAACACGTGTTTTGTTTCAAGATTAGGTTGTGGTAATAAATAATATCGTATAAAAAATAACGGATTTAAAATCTATGGAGAAATCAATGGCAATAACAGCCAAAAAATTTATAGAATTAGTATAGCCTTAAAAAGTAAATACTCAAATGAGCGATTCAAATTTTCCATATCGTTGGAAACATATCAGGATATTTAAAAACCAGGTGAAAATCAATATCAATAACTGCCGAAAATTCAATCGAAACATTACATTGATTTATGATACTATCGACGTAAATGGAGCTCGTCAAAAAGTGATTTATCTAAATGCATGATTCAAATTTTACATGTAAATTTTTGTAAAAAAGAAAACTAAAAATTTTTACCTTTCGAAAGAAAAATCTTTCTGCAAGAACTCTGTAACATATTGCGACAATATTGCAGTGTCGCTCGTTGATTGGTAAGTAATATGTTTTGTGTTTTTTGACATTTTTTACACATACTAGACTGCGATACAAAAACTAATAAGCATCCTTTCGAATGATTGCAAAATTAATTACAACATAGAGAATAAGTCCCTTACAATTGCAATTCACTATAGCAAATAAAATTGTTATTATAAGAAAATACACATATTTAATGCTAAAATAACAAAATAGCAGAAGTTAAATAGCAGAGCTAAAAATTGCTTGATTTTTCTTTCGTCATGAAGAGGATAAATTAGTCGGTGGTCGCACACATGTTGCTTTATAAGAATAAAGAATTGTTTAGAAAGAAATTACAGTAGTTTTTCATTTTTCTGTATTGGTATTAGAAATAAAAATGTCTTTCATTTGATCCTTTTCGAATAATTAATATTGTTCATTTTAACAGGAAAAAAAATTTCTAATTTTTTTTGTCGTAATAGGGGAAGACTAATAATTTTCAAGGCACAATAAACATAAAATTTTTGTATCTTTAATATTAGTACCTTGACAGTGACTTGGGAAGTTATAGTAAGAGTAGTACTTTATTTACGTCACACTAAAGGTATACAATGGACCATTGACGATGGTCCTAGAAACATCCTAAAGCATGATCCAAATAAAGCATGATAAAGCATGCCATTCCAAATTTAATCTCAGATAGAGCAGTAGGCTCTCTTGTTTTGGTTGCCTGACAACCAGCGTCTAAAGTCAAGCACTTTTTATGATAGAACAGTTACAAGAGGACCGATACCAGGCACCCTTAGTCCTTACACAGACAGATCAAACTGGTTGCTCACTGGCAGTGATGCTTGTCTTCTGTAATCTACTGGGAACCACATCATACGATCAGTTCACTAAGGAATGCAACTTTATCATAATAGCAGACTTCTTGTAATACACAGCTTTTGCTATTTTTGGTTTCACATAGCTTGGCAGCAGATTAAGATAGAATAAAATTATTATTTTGCTTAATTACCACTGCAAATCAAGAAACTTTATGTTTATATCTTACTTGATTTTTGGTTACTACAAAAATTGTTAATTGTTTTTTGCCTAAAAGATTGCTAAATAACGATGAGAAAAATTAATTTCCAACAATAATGCTCTACAAATTTATATTCATTATTTTACTAGTGTATGTTGACTGGATGCAATTGTACATAAAATTTATTATAAAAGTAACTATAACTTACTTAACTGTTTAACAATTGTGAAAAAGGTAAATAAGTTTTATACTGATTTATATATGGTTATCATAGAATATGTAATTGGGTAATATCAAAGGATAACTTAATAATAAAGAAACATAATTTACAAAAACTAAACTCAGTGGTGTGACAGCCCATAGAGGGCCAATTGTGCCCATCTCAGTTTTCTTGACCTTAGGCTCTGGGGTGCAAGAGCAGACTTAACAGTTGGGTGGCCAGCCGAACGCGGAACCCCTCGTGTACCTAGTGTATGACCCACTGAAGGGATGAAAGGCTGAGTCAATCTTGTCCAGCCAGTGGATCGAACCAAGGACCTGTGGCACGAAAGAGCAGAACGCTCAGTTTACAAACATTAACAAGCCCTTAATTTACAAAATAACATTTAATCCTGAGTGGCTGCTGAAGGGACAGCCAACTTCACATCAATGGGTGCCAATTTAACTGGATAGGTGTGGCAGCTTTTATTCAGATCAGATACATTGTTACAATCATCACAAAATTGTAAAGCTGCAACCCCCCTAAAACACAAGCCCCGCAATGGGTAGAAGCACTTTACTTAAACAGTAATCAGTAAATGCTATTAGCTAAATTATATGTTTTATCCACACAGAAATATCCTCAAAACTACTTTAAAATTAGAAGTTTTAAAGTTTGTATGTGTATTAGAAAAAATATCAAAACACAATGGATAGAAACCCTTTACTTTAATTTGTTAACAGTGCATGTTATAACATAGTTAAATTAAATGTTTTATCCACACGGAAATATCCTCAAAACTACTTTAAAATAAAAAGACTAAAAAACTTGTATGTGTATTAGAGAAAATATCAAAATTTAAAATGCTAGATTTCAAGACAAAGAAATGAATACTTAAAATAATTTCTGTCAAATTTAAGCAAAAAAAAATTTATTTCTCTGAGATGATGTCACATTGTCATAAGTGTCAAAAAAAAGGAATTTGGTTACTAACACATTATTAGCTGACAAGCACCGTTATGCTTAAGTTAATTAACAGAAGATAATACTAATAACGATTTTTAACTACTTTTCCAGAAAACATTTTAAGTGTTAAATTGGAATTGAAGTAGAGCAAAGGGGGAGGGGGAGCATTGTTAACAACATACAAAAAATTAGATCAAGTTAAAGTACAAACTACTAAACTATAAATAAAATTAATAGAAATGGTGAAACAGGCACTTAAAATGTGTAGGATTTATGAAAAATATAAGTTATTTTGGGATGGTTAAAAATGTTACATATGAAACTATTTTTTTCTTCTTTTTTTAAAAAAAAAGAAAGGAAAAGAAAAACTTTAATTTATTTTGAATGAAAAGGAGAAAAAGTTTAAATTTCTGTTTGAGAATGTTTTCCTTGACATAAAGCATGAAAAACATTCAGATTTTTAAAATATGCATATTTTTGGAGGGAATAAAACCACGCGTATCCACGTTTTTCAAAAGTATAAAAAGTTAGCAGTGAAAAAAAAAATCAAGCTTTATTTGGATAAAAAAAAAAGAAAGAAGAAGTTCAATTTAAAAGAGAAAAAAAAGAAGACGAAAATGAAAAGAACAAAGGGGAAAAAAAGGTTAATTTTTACTTAAAAATGTTTTTATTTTAAATTAAAGCATAAAAATCAATCACATTTTTAAAATATATACATTTTGGGGAAAATTAAAAACCTTTTAAGACTTTTAATTTAAGACTTAAGTTAAATTAAGAATTTAAAGACTTTTTCCAGTACTGTTTTATTCATATAAAAAATATCAGGGAGAAATTTTAGTTTGTAAATAAATTTTCCCAGTGTTAAATATGAAAAAAAAAATTTAAAACCGGAAATATTTTTGTTTGCATCGCCATTTTCAACAGGTAAATTTTTTTCTTAAAACAAATGAGAAAAAAAAATTTATAATAACAAGAACTTACCTACTGCAAAGAACTCCCTACAACTGTAACTACGTTTTCATTCTTTGGAAGATGCTGAAAAATAAATTCATTTTAACAAAGGCAAAAAATAAAGAGAAAAACTGAACTACATTTTTATCTAGACAGGAGGTGATATTTCATGAATTCAAGAGAAAAACAAATCAACCCGATTATAGGTTCCCGTTTGAAGGTTTCGATCGAAAAATGACGTCAGAGAAGAGAGAAGTAGGGAAAGGGGAATGGCTGAGTGACGCAAAGAGCAGACGACGTGAATCTCTGGTGAATTTCATTATTAACTTCAATGCGGAAGTAAACCTATATTCACAATATAACCATCGTTAGGTGACGAAAACAAATAATTCTCACCAAAATATGAGAAAAACAACAAAAGAAAAAAAAGATTTTTTTTGATTTAAACCTGGGTTTTTTTTTTTTTTTTATAAAATAATACGTTGAATATTTTACTTCCTTAATTTAAATCAACTAAACTATTCAAAAGTATTTTCTTGTATTTAACATATCCGTTTAACTATCAAACAGGGTGCGTAGCCAAATCATTCAACAAAAAATAAGCACCTTTTAAGTACTTTTTAAGCACCAAAAATCATTTTTAGAGCACTATAGACATTACAAAATGCAAAATAATTTCCAAAGACTTTACATGATCGTGAGAAAATAACTAGTTTCTAACAAAGAACTCTTTTCTTGATTATATTAACCACTATAAAATGATCCGAGAAATTTTTCGGGTCTTTTTCAGAGGGTGGCCTGAAATTGAGAGTATCTTGCAAAATGCAGCAGTGTACAAGAATCTCACCGAACTCAGCTCAGTATATGCACACGCGGACAAGCAAATATTTCACCTAACATGTAAAATGATTGGCGCTTTCATACGCTACGGAATGACGGTATGCCGAAGTGTACTATTGTGTTAGAATGAATTGTAAAAACGTTGAATAGAACAATGTAAAAACCACGCTTTTGCATAATCGACATGGTAAGAAAAAAACAATCTCATTTTCGAAAAGGAAAAATTAAGCACTATTTAAAAACATTCAAATTTAAAAAAAAAAAAAAAACATCTTTAAGGGCTTTTAAAAAAACGAAAATTGAAAATAAGCACCTTTAACACTAAACATACCAACACTTAATGTATACCGATTTCTACCAAAGCCGGTCAAATGTTTCGTGATTAAATGTATGAAATATGGATGTTAGGAAGGAAATACAAAACTCAATTATGATGTTAGGAAGGATAAAAACTTTATTATAATTAAACAAAATTCTATACTTCCAATTTTTATGTATTACAAACACAAAGAATAAGAATTTTTAATTCATTGCTCGACGCTTTTTTTTTTTTACATATATAGGGTGTTTCTATTGTACATTCTCAGCAGACATATTTCTTCTAATTATTATTTCTATAATTCTTATAATTATTCTTATAATTAATATTATTTCTTCTAAGAACTTGTGCTGTCTTGATTGTTTCGACATTTTTCTGGGCAAAAACCAACAGTTAGTTAGAAATGAAGTAAAGCTATCAAAATAAAATATAAACTACTCACCAAAACATTTAGTGTTTGCCACTTTTTCTGACACAAAAATGCAAAATCTAAAATGTTAGGTACTAAATTTGAATTCACAGTTATTCTGATTGAACTCACTACGCAACAGTCTTGGAAGAAATGTGCAACTCATCGAATGCAATACGTTGAACACGCATTACATCGTCATGTCTGATCCGATAACCTTATAAAGCAATAAATTGTTCTCTCGGTCAAATGGCTGGTTGTGGTAAAAATAGGTATGCGACAAGTATTATTCGAAACAAACAAAATACACAAAAAATAATAATAATAGAATATTAACTGTAGGGCAATTCCATATGTACGGAATGACATTTTGACTTGCAAAATAACAATTAATTGAAGTTTCTATGTATCTAATTTTAAATAAAATATTTTTTCTCATGCATATCATTATTATTGGCATAATGCGCTTCATAAACTAAAAAAAAAACAGGATTTTCTATCTTTTTTACTTTTAATTTTACGAACTGTTTATTTGCGTGACGGAACGACATTTTGGCAACCAAGCTTTTGGCATGCCGTTTAGAACTGGTAGTTTCTGCGAATTTTGCAGTTATTATTTTTCTGAACTATTTTACACTTTTAGTATAATGTGTAAGCAATGTAAAATGTGAATTTGGAAAATTAATCTCATGTTGGCTTGCAGTTATTAACATCTATTTGCTGTGACGGAATGACCGTGACGGAATGACAAAAAGTTTAGTGGAAGAAAGTCTTCATTTAAAAAATGTTTTATTAATATGTAAATGATAAACAGAATGTAACAGATAAACAGGATTAATATTTATGTAAGAATTAGTAAAAATTTCAACAGTTTGAAAATTAGGTTGTCTCTGAAGAGGTTTTATATCTAACTTGCCAATGTCACATCTTATCTTCGTTCTCAGGAAATTTATGCATTATTAAGACATGTGACGGAATGACGTAAAAGAAGTTACTTTTATTTTATATATTAAACTTAAAATGTTTAAATTTTGTTCTATATGCATATTTTTATCAAAATATTGCAAAAGAAAGATACATTTCTTTTATTTTATAAGTATTTTTCAAGAAAACAATTTGAGCACAAATGTGAACAATTCACTTGTCAGCCATGTGATTACTTTAGAATACTGCCAGATTCAAAAAATTTTAAATTATCAAAAGTGAAACGGCAATATGTAGACTTTGGCTGTTTTTGAACATATTTTTAAAATTAAAATATGCAATTCATAAAAATAAAAAAATTTCACTTAAAAGTTGACACTTCCGTGGAAATGCCCTGTATGTAATTCTTAGAAAAAAGTTAAGAAGTCAAATGTGCAAAAACGATAAGATGATAAGCGCATTTTTGATGCAAAAGTTCCTAAACGGTCATTTATGGTATGTTTAGTGTTAAAAACGCTACGCGCACCATGTTAAATTAATGTTTTCAACAACAATTCAAAAATATCCACATTTTATCCGTAAATATGCCAATAATAGTAAAAATGAACTGAATACTTTTAATGCGTTTTACAACTCCACTTAACATGCAAATAAACATTTAAATTTTATTTCATTAAAACATCTTAGCCGCATCCGGCGATCATGTGGTCCGCTTTTAGATAAGGACTCATAGAATTTCCAGATTTAAAAATCGTACAGTCAAAAATCAAAACAATATGTAAGTATATAATATGCAAGTATATAATAATGTAAGTATATAATAATAATTGTTCAAGTGAGAGATTTAATTTTTGCATTTGTTATTAAGATGTTTAGTACAACCTATATATCAACATTTAAAAAAAGAAAAATGCTAATTACCTCAATGGCGTCTTAGATGGATAATAAATTTAATCAGAAACTTCGTCGAAATCAAACTGTGCACTTATTTGCTATTATTAATTATAGGAGTTAATAAATTTCATTTGTAAGGGTTTCCTCAGCGAAACCACCGTCAACAGTTATAAATTTCTTTTTAAATTAAGAGAATACACAGATCTGACACAGTGAACAATACATTTTAAAGAAGAAAAATCTTTAAAAAAATTATTTAGCTTAATGGCTTTTTTCAAGAACTAAAAAAAAGTAAATAAGTATTTACGTTAAAAAGTCAAAATTAGTCTTTACATTTAGTAGACACGTTTAATTGGTTAATAAAATGTACTTTAGCTTGAGAATCAGTTTTATTTAATCTTTTTTAACTTAGACGAAATATTTTGGCTATTAAAAACTTTTCTTAATATTAAGACGCAGGAGTTGCATATATTGTGTACTTAAATACAGTCCCTGGCCAAAGCTTTATTGTTTTGACGCGGCTGAAACCGGTTTGCACTTGTTTACCTTCGTGTATCAATTGGTCAATGAATCAAATGTTCAACTCCGTAGCTTTGTAATTTTGAACCCAATCCAGATGATAAGGGGACTCCTGGATTAAATAATTGAAGGAATTTGCGTTAGTGGAGAACGTTTTGATTGAACTAACCATCATTTTGCGTTATACGGGGAGGATAACCACGAAAAACTCCCACGGTTAGCCTGACAGCAAGGGGACTTTAACCCTGGTCCACCTACCACTGAGGATATTTCACGTCAACACTGTGGTCGGTGCAAGCCGGATGCGGAATTCGTTTCAACCAGCCATCGCTGGGATTCGAACCCGGTTCACCTCAATGGAACACGAAAGCTCTATCCCCTGAGCCATCACGGCTCAAAGGCTATTTCTTCGGTAAAATTAACTCCAAAAGTATTTTTTTGCAGAGAACTTTATGCTATGATAAATAATGCCTGAAATTACCGGATTACGGTACGGCCGGGGATGCCGCATTTGGTATAGGCTAGGTTTAGAAGAATATCGAAAAATAGATCGGTTAGAAGAATAATATCGAAAATACTTTTTACGATATTATTTTTTCCCCTTTTCTTTAATTTCATTTTTGAGAAAAATATCTGAAGGCATTTCAAATATTATCCACATTTTAAAATTTTTACCACACATAAAATGCTGTAGCGATCAGAATATATGGAAATCCGATGGTGTAATGTCGGGCCATTATGATGGGTGATTGAAATGCTCCTACCTTTATTCATTAAATTTCACAAGATACTTCAATATTGCACTGTGCAAAACAATCTCTGGAAAAAAAATTAGAAATCGGGATGGGAATTCTCCAATTATCCACCAAATTTGCCCGATATTATACTTAGTCCTCAAACTTTACACGTTACTTCAATAACACGTTAATCAATAGATTGAATAGTTTAAAAATTAAAAGAGCTTTATTTATAAAAAGTATTTCGATTTACTTGAACTTAAATATACTTTTTACATCGCTATCTTATACATATACTTTTATATACATACTTTTTACATTGCTGTATAATCAAAGCAGCAATGGGATTGTTGACATTCACCGATGAAAGTCGACATTCTCTTCTTGATTTCGGTCATTCAAGATAACAGAGTATTGCTTTTGTTGGGAAGAATATAACTTA